TTCACAAATTAATCTTACGTTCATATATAGCATTATAGTTTTGGGATCAAAATCAACATCTTGCTCAAGATCGTTTTCTTCGGATTCATATTGAAAGAATATGATATTTTGATCATAAAAGAATTAAAAATTTTGATAATTTTGATACCTAGAATTGCGATATATGATCGACAAAGAATCGAGATAAAAAATCGATGATAAAATTATCACAAACTGAATTTGATTTGTTTGAATCTTTAATGGATTTGATTTGTAAGAACCGTTAGTAGATTTGATTTGTTTAAGTCGAGGAGGTGAAATCGTCGTTGAAATTGATTTTTGATTCGGCTGACGAGGAGATCTTGTTGAAGAACTTGTTGTCGACCGTGAGTTCGAATGTGATTAGTCGGATGGTTTTGGGGAAGGTATTTGAAGCATGTTAATACTATATTACCCTTTCTTTAAAAAATTGACCATTTCATCCAAAGGCTAAGATCACTTCTCTATTTCTCACACATTTAGCAATTCTTCAATGAACCTCTCCATATATATATATATATATATATATATATATATATATATATATATATAGGGTATATTTCTTTTACAACCTTGTGTATTTGTACAATCCTTGCAACCCAATTAATTGAGATATTTATAGAAATGATGGAAGTTTATTTATTATGATTTGAATATTTATGGAATATGAATAGAGTTCATTAATTATGATTAATACTTTATATTAGGAAACAATCAAAACTTCTATGAAATCACATATTYATCAAATGAAATGGACGGTTGAGATTGGGTTGTATTGGTTGCACAAATGTCAAAGGTTGTATAATAACCAACCTCTATATATATATATATATAGAGAGAGAGAGAGAGAGAGAGGAGCGATCAAATGCAAACCACCCAATTTGTACAAACTGTGCAAATCACACTCATCCGTCGATTTCATTGTTTAATATTATGAAATTTTTTCATGAAATTGTTTATATATATATATATATATATATATAGAGAGAGAGAGAGAGAGAGAGAGAGATGAGCGATCAAATGCAAACCACCCAATTTGTACAAACTGTGCAAATCACACTCATTCGTCGATTTCATTGTTTAATATTATGAAATTTTTTCATGAAATTGTTTAATCTTGTGAAATTGTTTCATATAATACTTTTTTAATAAAGTTGTTTCATATATGGTTATGAAATTGTTTCATATACTACTTATGAAATTTTAATGAAATTGTTTCATGTATTGCTCTAAAATTAAAATAATGAAGATGATAATATCCATGATTAACACATTCCACAATAAAAATGATTAATCAACCTCTCATAATTAAAAAAAATGAAAAATTATGACTGGTTGAATGAGATTTGGACAAATAACGTGATTTACAAAGTAAACATCACACACACACACACACATATATATATATATATATATATTTGTCTGTACGTATGTGTAAAAGAGGATCATGCGAAAATCAAACTAATTTGTGAGAGGGTGAGAAAGAATGTGGGTCACATACCTTATTTAATAATTAGATTAAATAAAACATTATTAAATTAAAATTAAAAAGGTAACATTATATGTAATCGTGGTGATACTTCCTAATAAATCAGGATTGCGTTTGTTTTTCAAATTGATCTCATCACAAAGATAAATTTGTAATAGCTTGATTATAAGTTTTAATCACATATGATAATTCGTTTGATGATCCTATCAATCAATGTGATAATTGCAAATATTTTTGTTAATCATATGTGATTATGTATATTTACATTTATAGATTATTTTTGTGATGCAAATGTTGTCACATGTGATAATATGTAACATATACTCACACATATATTATCACTAGAAGCGTACTCGCGCAATGCAGCGAGATACATCGTGATTTTAATATTTCATTTTATCCTTTATCTCAGTCGATGTTATAATATGGTTTTATGTGATTTTGAGAAAACGATGATGTTTTTATTTTTGAATAAAATATATGTTTGAAGATATCATAAAAATTTGACAAAAATATATCGATATTAGTATCAAATTAACTATTT